ATCAGAGAGCATGCGCGCGAGAGAGACGCAGATGCGGCGCTTGTGCAAACGGTCGCCCTTCCAGCCGCCTATTTTATTCTATTCCATTGAATCAAAGGGTAACTACTGTTAGTTTCTAGATACCTTTAGGTGCAAAACTCATAATGGCAGTCATAATAAAATGTGATATTCTATCATCCGCAAAATCGTATTCGCTTTTTCTTGCTTCCTTTGGCTGTATAGTTTGTGATGTGAGCATAATTTCTAGTCTTCAAGGAATATCTTCCCATTCATCTCCGCTTAATCTTGCGCAAATCTGGCAATTCCATGTGTTATTCGTCTACTCGTAAATTATTGTATTGCATCGATCAGTGTTGTTTTATGTCAGTTTCAACTCCTTTTAAATTCCCTTTCTGGTTTTTCAATATATTCTTGCCCTTTCTCGTGAATTTGGTTCTTTTGCAAAAAAATTTTTGTCACAATCTTATACAATCTTATACATGTTTTCTTTATCGAATCTTGGCGCATCTCCTACTCTACTGAATGTTTTGGGTACCATTTTTTTGGTTCTCTGACCTGTTTCAAATCAAGCGGACTTCTGTTAATCCAGTCTTTTTTTTTTTGAAAAAGTCATGACAAACGTGCGCTGTGAACAAATTTCCTGAATTTTATGCAAAAAATCTCCCCTCGTTCCTGATTGGACGTCAGTCCTTCTATCTAAAGCTCTCATTGGTCGATGCATATACGCGAACATAAATCGCTTTGATTGTAACTAAACCAAAAGTTAGTGCTGTTGTTCGTATAGTGTCTTGTTGCTCTATCACTTTTCTCAGCAATTTTGTGAGTTTCTATGGTCTAATGAATGAATGAATATCTGTTTTAAATTGTTGTTGTTTCTATGAAAAATTAGTGGTAAATTACCGTATCATATCTCTTTCAGATGAACGATATAGACCTAAGCCGTGCGGAACCCGGGGATCTAATTTTTCTGGCTAAAAACGAAACCGCGTGCGATTTTGAGCGAGCCGTTACTGATGTGGCCTCATCGCCTTACTACCATGTGGGCATTATAGCTCGGGATAGGCGAATTGTCCATGCCTTACCTCGCGGAGTACTGCACCAAAGTTTGGACGAGATCCTGGCCGACGCTGAACCTGATCGAATTGAAATTGTGCATGTAAACACGTCTGGAGCCGCGAAAACTCGGGCGGCAGCGTATGCAGAATCGAAAGTTGGCATGCCCTACAACGATATTTTCGCGCCCGATTGTATAAACTCCGACGGGGTGGAGTCATATTACTGTAGCCAACTTGTAACCGAAGCCTATCAAGATGAAGTTGAATTCCCCGAGCATAAGCTGAATTTCAAAGATGAGCATGGACACATGCTAGATTATTGGGTGCAGTACTTCGAAGAACGAGGCA